CCTTAGTCTTTGTTTTGTTATGTTTTTAATCTTACTGTAAATATATGAGGGGGTTTCAAAAAGTTCATGGAAAAGTTCCATTTTCCTATAATCTTTTTTTTTTTTTTAAGCTTTTATTGTGAATTGAATGATAATTTACAGGACAGATCATCAGCCTTTCACTCAACCAATCATATTTTGTTTCATTGCAATGATTACAATCCCCTCCATGCACCATCGGTTAACAGTTGTTGTTGTTGTTAAGTGCCATCGAGTTGATTCCGACCCATAGCGTCCCTGTATAGGTTTTCCGAGGAGCAGCTGCTGAGCTTGAACCACCGACCTTACAGTTCAAACGGCTTTGCAGTCTGGCGCATTAACCCACAGCGCTACACCAGGACTCAGTTAACAGTATTTACCTCTATTCCCTTTAATTTTTTTGATGTACACAAAACACTCAGAAAATATATATTCGTTTAAATGACCAAAGGGCACATTTTGCAAAGCAGCCTCCTACCCACCGGCACACAGCCTTTCAAGGGTCTGGAGTCCTCAGCTGCTTTCTCTTTGCCATCACCTCTGCCTCCATCTCTGGTTAGGATCCCATGCTCCACTGACGCCCTTCCCTCATGATGGTCCTGGAACTGTGTTCCTGGAATGAAAGATGAACTACTCCCCCACTTTTTGTTTCACATCTTCTACCTTTACAGTTGTGACAGTTGCAATTAGTCATGATAGCAGTTACTCACTATTGAATCAAAGTAATCCTATCCCCTACTCCTTGTCACCATTCCATAGTTTGTTTGTTTTTTATTCTCCTTTATCTATATAACACAACTTTGCTGCTTTAACCGTTTTTGAGTGTACAGTTCTGTGACATTATTACATTCACCATATTGTGCAGCAATCTCCACTATTCATTTCCAAAAGGTAGTTTGTGTAAGTGAAATAATTTGGCCCTTGCTTTTTGAGCTAGACTAGTTATGTGTTTCACTTGCCTAGCTGCTAAGCCTAGGTTTAATGGGATTTCCTGAGGCTCCATGTCTGATTGTCTGTGGGAATTTCTATTGGGAGAAAGGGAGGGAAATTATCTTTCCAGTCTTCCAGGCTCAGATAAGATCTGGTAGCCTGGAGATTGTCCAAAAGAAGATTTTCCCACCTATACCTGTCTCTCTTCCAAACTTCTGACCTTCTTGTTTTTGCCCTTCACTTTCATTTATCCTGGGGTCATTTGCCATTGCGTTCCCAGTTCATTGTAAATGGTAACACATGTGGAATAAAAATGATTATACATTAAGGAATAACGCTTATTGATAATTCAGGGTTTCGTTGCTTCTCTGCTTCCCCCAAATGGAATAAATAAATATTTTAGACATAATCAAGTTTGTTTTCTCAATTCAGACCCAACAGTCAGGGTTGTTGAGACGATATAGATCTTTAAGATACTGCAAATGAGTCTTGACATCACCGAATTGTTATGCATCCAGGGTACGTGGACTTGAAATCCAGGCTATCTCCTTTAATCAGGAAAATCATTTCTGTGATACTTGCATTTTGAGTCCTGTGGGCTTAGGGAAGGGACCAGCAGGGGGGAATATCAGAGCCAGGATTTTAAATGATTCGCTGAGTTCTGCCCCCTCCCCACCCTTCTCAGTGGCACCACTGGCTGCATTTTAATGCCTTTCTCCCAGCTCTGGCTCCCTTCTTTTCTCGGGATAGTGCACAGGGTGGGAAATTGAGGCAGCGATTGAGTTCCAAGTGGGTTTAGTGCCAGAGTCCAAACAGTGATTGGCCAGTGGACTAGGCAGGTGGTGGGTTGCAACAGAAAAGCAGCTTCTACGGCAGTGAACTGACTCCTTAGTACCCAGGGTAACTTGACTTACCCTGGTCTCTGTGCCAGGACCAAATGCAGGTGCTTGGCAGCAAGGTGGCTTTAAATGAGGCACATGTACTCCGTGCTCTCGCGAGGTCACAGGCGTAAGTTTTGCTCATCCATCACCAAGCCTCATGGAGGAGGGAGCATGTGGTCTACCCAAGTACAGGTGGCCAAAGCTTGTGACCTGGCCCTACTAGCATCAAAGTCCATCTCACTGCCCTGGCCTCTTTAGAGGTTTGCATGTAACCTTTATTTAGGTTCAGACTAAGGAGGTGAACTCGGAAGACAAATGAAGCCCAGAGTGACCCCAGGCTAGAAGTGAGGATGGAGAGATGGGGTCTGCACAGGGAAGAGATGTGCCCTGAGTGGGAGCCTCTGACTTGTGCAGCTCCGTGTCCACCATCTACAGAGCCTCTAAGTGTTAGCAGAGGACTTAAGGGGAGGCAGCAGCATAAGTGGAGGAATAAAGATGCTTACACCCAGGGGAGCAGAGATGGCTCAGGCATCCATTCAACCTCAATCACTTAGCACCTGCCATATGTCACTCAGTTTGCTGTCACATTGACACCAACGCATAGTGACCCCGTGTGTGTCAGAGTAGAACTGTACTCCATAGAGTTTTCAATGGCTGATTGTTTTGGATATTGATCTCCAGGCCTTTCTTGCAAGGCACCTCTGGTTGGACTTGAACTTCCAAACCCAGCATGGTTAACCATTTGCACCACTGAGGACTCCTGCTCTGTGTCAGGAGCTCTGTTTCATCCTGGGCCCCCTTAATGCATCATAAGGTCACATGCCTGCTGGGGGACAGGACGGGACATTTAACCTGATGACTTTTGTCCCTCCCAGTCCTGGTTTCCAGGAGATCTTTAGGGGATAAAACTGTTTGGAGGTGGGGAAGAGAACAAACACATAAAACATAAAGACGAATAATCCAGGGACTACCTCTGGATGTGGCTCTCTGCCAACTCTGCACATGATTAATGGGACCAGGAGCTGAGAAGAAGGCAACGCTCAGTCACCGGGAACCCTTGTCCTTGCTGGAGATGACCTGAGGATCTGGTAGCTTTCTCTGCAGGGTCCTGGTATTGCAGGTATACAAGCCTGACAAAATGTTTGTGTTGGGCCTGAGTTCAGACAAAATCTCATCAGGTCTGATATTTGTGTCAGGCCGCAGAGATGACTGAGGACTGGCTTTCCCCAGAGGATGCTGGGAGAAGCTTGCCAACTTTGTACCCCTGTAACCTGCATTCCACCATATATGTTTCTAATGGACTGGGCTGGGTTAGACTATAGAACCCCAGCCAGTTATTTGGTGTGTGGTAAGCATCCAGTAAATAGTGTGGTTACCATTTGTGTGGTACTGCTAAACTGAAAACAAAACCAAACCAGGTGCCATCGAGTCAGTGCTGACGCATGTAAAACTGTGCTTCATAGGGTATTTTAGGAAGTAGACTGGCTGATTTGTTGGCAGTAGATTGCCAGGCATTTCTTCCAAGGTGCTTCTGAGCAGACTCAAACTGCCTACCTTGTAGTTAGCAAGCAGCACATCACCATTTGCACCACCAAAGGTGCCTGGGCCTCTTTTACTGGAAACCACGCGGGGACATGCCTTTTGGATGAATGCATTCTTTTCAAAGGAATCTTCTAGACCCCATAGGTGCTCAGTATCTCAGCTTCCTTTCCCCCAAGGTTCCTCAGAAATGGTTGTGTGAGAGTTGGAGACAGGCATACCTGAAGGGACCTAAGTGAATCCTCTCTCCATCTGGAATTGCCAGGATCACAAGTAGACACAGAATTTTGAAAAGACGCTTGTCTCTTTTCCCCAGAATAGGAGACGCTAATGGCACAGTACAGAACCAGCCGTTTCGGTATTCTGTGTGTTGTGACCAGCGTTGTGCTTGTCCAGATTGCTATCTGGACCCCTGTTGTGGTACTGTAACATCAGCACTGGACAGCAAAGCACAAGGTCAGCAGCTCAAACCCCCCAGCTGCTCCTCGGAAACGCTATACAGGGTTGCTATGACTCGAAACCGACTCAACAGCACTTAACAACAACAACAATGAGATTGCCAGTGAGAGTCTTGGGAATCCTAACATGCATTCTGACCTGAGGGTCACCGCGTCTAGATGCACCATCTTAATTTGTAGATGCAAAACCCAAGGCTCAAAATAGGGAAGGGGCTTCCCAGGACTCTACATAAGTCAGAGGCAGCACTGGAGCCCAGACCTCCTGCTTCCCTGTCAGTGTGCCTGCGTGTGTTTCTCGCGTGGTTAGCACTAAAGTGGTGGCTGCAGTCCATCTGGGGGGAGGGGGGTGTCCTGCAGTTAGATCCCTGTGGCAATAAGCAGGGTTTACTGAGTGGTGTCACAGATGGGACAGCCTGCTGGAAACCCTGTTGGGGGTGGGAGGAGAAGAAAGAAAGAGGCAGGAGGGGAAGGAGAGAACTCAGGAGGCTGAGCAGCAGTTGCCTGCCAAAATTCTTCAGTTCGCTGTGTCTAGCAAAGCCGATCTCCAGCGGAGTAAATACAGTGGATAGCTGACGGGCTGACAGCAGGCATCAAACAGTCTTAAACTGCTCCAAATCCACAGTGCTTTTGAAGCAGTGGTAGAAAAAGGATGGCTGTGCAGAACAGAGCCCTGCAATTTTTAATAGTTTCTTCCAGGCCTCAGGATGTCCTGATGAGGTATTAGAGGAAGTAATTCAGGAAGAAAAGGACAAATAGCCACCTCCGTCTGGAGGCTGACCCCGGGGTTTGGCTGGGCCAGTGTGCTGAAAGAGCCCTGCGTGGCCCCGCAGTCACCCCACAGCCCCCATTAACCTGTCAGCCCCTCTGCTGAGAGTACCACGGGGGTTTTGACCCCCAGAAATAACAGACAAATGCATTTCTCGTTTGCTTGGGGGCACATGTAAACCACACAGAGCCTGCTGCTTGTGGGTAAAGTCACTAAATCCTCTTCTCTGTAGAAAGGGTACTGGGTACCAATTAGAACTCATTGCCTGAAGCTCTAAGCCTTTGTCAGGGGTCTGTCCCACGACTCCCAGGTCAGGAGCTGTCGGGATGTCAAGACATGAAAGAGAAATGGATGGGCATGCCAGAACTGAACTTACCCCTCTTCTCTGTTTACCCCCTTTCCCTTTAGGGTTTGGCTTTGTCACTTTTGAGAATGAAGACGTGGTGGAAAAAGTCTGTGAGATTCATTTCCATGAAATCAATAATAAAATGGTAAGTTGGTAGCATTTGTGCTGAAACATAATGTTCCTCTGTCTCCCTGCACACATCTTTGTCTTGCAGACTGTTGGCACCCTGTAATCACAATTGAAAGTGGGCTCAGAGGGTTCAGCCCCATGAATGGTAGCAGTTGTTAAAGATATGGGATGGTAAACTTTTCCTGTAAAGTCAATATTTGCAACATTGTGGGCCATACAACTGACTCCAAATTCACCACTCAATGTATACATGAATGAACTGAGCAGACTGCGCTTCAATACAACTTATTTATGGACACTGGAATTTGAACTTCTTATAATTTTCACATGGTCACAAAATATTTTCTTTTGGTTTCTTTTCAACAATTAGAAAATATGAAAGCCATTCTTAATTCATGACCATACAAAAACTGATAGCGGGGAGGGGGCAGATTTGCCTGCAGGTCTACCAACCTTGGGCTTTTCCTTTTCCTGTTTCGCTTTTGCAGGGCACATGCTAGATATAGACTTTGTGGCATCCAATTATTTCTCTTTGCACCCTGTTGGATAATTAACAACCCCCTCTCCTTGCTTGCAATGAGGGTATGCCTTCCACCCTTCCTTCCCTTTGGGTCTGTAAAGTTCTTTTCCTGCCCCTTCAGCCTCCAGAAGGGGATGGGAGGTTGGATCATTGAAAGTTTGGGGGCTAGAGGCCGCCCAGAGAGATAACCAGCAGAGGGCGCTATATCATGTGCAGACCATCCATAGGCACCAGAAGCCTCCTGATTGAGTTGTGGGTGACAAGCCACTTCCTTGGTTCCAGAAAATGGGAGCTCAAATATTTGAGTTGGCCAGCAGAGTCTCCAGCCCCAAGAGAAGAGGGAGGGGAAACCTGTGTTTGAACCACAGCCCTAACTTTGATATTTTCTTCCTTTTGTTAAAACATTCCTTGCTTTTGAAACATGCATTCAGATATGCATTGTATACTGGTCTGATATGTTTTCACCAACTTTAAATTCAGTAATAGAGCTTTTAGTGTGGATAAGATCAAAGCAATCTGCTTAGCTTGCAGTGCTACAGGCCTGAGTCACTATTTGACTTGCTAATTTTTACCCAGGGCACTAAAATCATATTGTTCATATTGTTCCTTGCCATCATATGCATCTGAAATAAAAATCCTATTTCTTTGCATACTGTATGTTGGAAATGTCAGCTCATGTGGTAAAATGGCACCGGGGAGAGAAATGTGTAGGAATCCTGGTTTTTTTCTGCCCCAAAATATAGGTGCCTCCAGTCAGTACTTGTTTCTTTGGGAAGGTTACTATTTGGTCTTGTGTAAAATGAGAGAGACTGGGAGCTTAGGAGGAAGTCTGCCTCCAGCCTCCTGATGGCCTTATTTATGAGAGCTGGAGCCCGGCTGGTGACAGACTCTGGGGAAGGCTGCCTGGGCTGCGGGCAGCAGAAGAGGCAGTGTAGATGTTGGCAGACACCATTCTTTCTACAGGAACTTCACAGGTCATTAGGACAGGCCTGGTGCACGCTGGCAGGAGACCATACGTGAATGCATACGTGCAGCCCTTCACTAACTTTTTTCCCTCTTAATCCAATGCCTTTTTTTAAAAACTTGAGATGAAATTCACGTAGCATAAAACCTAACTTTTTTTTTAAGTGAACAATTCCTTGGCATGTAATACCTCCACAATGCTGTATAACGCCATCTCTTATCGAGTTTCAAAAATATTTGATCACCCCTGACCCATTAAGCAAGTAGTCCCCATTCTCTTCCCCCCAGCCCTCAGCAAGCACAAATGTGTTCTGTCACTATTGATTTGCCTTATCTGGATGTTTCATATAAACAGATTCCTACAATATATGACATTTTGTGTCTAATTTCTTCACTTATCACAGTGTGTTTAAAGTTCATCCATGTTAAACCATGTGTCAGTACAACAAGATTATGGTAGAGTAATGTTTTGTTGTGTGTGTGTGTGTGTGTGTGTGTGTGTGGTTACCACAATTTGTTTATTAATCTACCACATATGGACATTTGGGCTGTTTGCACTTTTGCTGCTGTGAACATTGGTGTAGAAGCTTTGTTTGAATGCCTGATTTTCATTCTTTGGGAATTATACCTAGGGGAATTTCTGGGCGGTATGAATGGCTGACATGCTTAGCAAGTTCATTGACTAACTGAAAGGTTTGAGGCACCTTGGAAAAAAGGCCTGGTGAGCAACTACTGAAAACTCAGCTGTTAAAAACCCTATGGAGCTCAGTCCTACTCTAACACACGTGGGGTCTCCAAGAGCTGGGCTGACTTAGCAGCACCTGGAGAGTGTCCTTTACTACTGACTCGCTTTGAAATGAGCCAGAGAGCTAGATGGTAGTGGTGGTGGTTATGTGCCGTGAAGTTGATTCCTACTCATAACGACCCTATATAGGATTTCTGAGGCTGTACATCTTTATGGGAGCAGAAAGCCTTATCTTTCTCCCACGGAACCACTGGTAGTTTCAAACTGCTGACCTTGAGATTAGCAGCCCATCTCGTAACCATGATGCTACCAGAGCTCCTTAGAGAGCTAGATAGGGAAGGGCTTTCTCCTCCTCCTTGTCCCAGGTGGAGGAGTGTCACTTGACTGCTCAGATAGTGCAAAGTGTCTTGAACTTAGAGGCTGCCAGATGAGCTGTACAGTCAAGCATTTGAGCTAGGAAGGTAGGAGAATGCACCCCAGAAGCCTCAGGGGGAGGAGGGTGTTTTAGCCCAAGAAAGATGACACATGGGTCAGCTTGAAGCCAGAGAGGCTGAGCCAGTCCCCGGATCCTTCACGTCTCCCATCTTCTCTCCCTGCCGGATGGAGGTGGCTTGCACAGCCCAAGTAACTGGTGAAGGTCACCGGCGTCATATGAGGATATCTGTCTTCTTTTGAGTCTAGTACTTGCTCTTTAAGTGAATATGGGGAAATGGAAGGAGATAAAGAGGAGGAGGAGGAACCAAGAGTAGAGTACTATCCAGCTCTGATCCCAGTTCTCAGCCCAACTCTACCAGTTAACATGCAAGGAGAGAACTGAGAGTTATTGGGAGAGAACCTCACTGAATTCCAGTAATGGGGTGATTGTGCCTGGCACAGGGTACAGGTTTAATGTTTATTAACGTTAGCTCAGTCATTGTCAACATCAAGCTTCACCCCTGACTGTAAGAGTGCAGAACTCAAAGGGGGTTGGTAGAGGAACCTGCATTGTAAATTGTATTGGACTCTCTTGTGCTGGTTTCCACTTCTGAGGCCCAAAGAAAAGGAAATGAATTTAAACTGAGCGATGGACAGAATTCCAATTGGAGAGCTGGGTAGACTCTGAGAACTCAGAGACTGCCAAGCAGGGACCCAGACGGTTGTTAGAATGTACGGAGGCGTGTTTGATAAACACTATGAAACTGTAAAGACTGGCCTCCTTTAACCCCGCCATCTCTGTGCACACACCCTCCAAATGCCTGGACCGCCAGTTCCCTCCTTTCCCGGAGATGTGAAACGGCACCGCTGATCTGCCGCCGAGATGGTACTTTCAATCCAAGGCTCTGATTCTTAATCTAGGACTCCTGTTCCTGGCACTTAGTATCCCCTCCATATATGTGAACCAAATAAAGGGTGAAATTACTCATGTGACAGTGAGGCACATCACAGTTCCCAAAGCTATTTCCCATCCAGTTTGATTTGTGAATCTCCAGGACGTATTTGTAAAATATAAGGATCCTTCTCTGTTGCCCAGGAGAACTGCTGTCTGCAACCTGGGACCACAGGAACCTTCATCTCACCCCATATAAGCCCTGCCTTAAGAAAGTCTCCTCCAGAAAGCACTAAACTATGCCCTCACTCCGAGGAGCCCTAATGGTACAAAGTTAAGTACGAGGCTACTAAACAAAAAGGTCGATAGTTCAAACCCACCAGCTGGTGCAGAGAAGAAAGATGTGGCAATCAGCTCCCCTAAAGATTGTTGTTGTTAAGTGTCTCTATAGCATTTCTGAGGAGCAGCTGGTGGGTTTGAACCACTAACCTTAGGGTAGCAATCTAGTGCTTATCCAACAGTACTACACCAGGAATCCCCCACAAAGACTGTGGTTGCTGTTAAGTGCCTTGGAGTTGATTCTGACTTATAGTGACCCAGTTTAGAGGTTCTGAAGCTGGAAATCTTGATGAAAGCTGAAAGCCTCCTCATTCTCCTGAGGAAGCAGCTGGTGGGCTCTGAATGACAACCTTGTGGTTAGCAGTCCAGTGCTTGTCCTACAGAGCCACAACATCCCTTTAAAGACTCCAGTTTAGGAAACCCTGGGTGGCAGTTCTGTGATGTCATTTGGGGTCACTATGACTTAGAAGCATCTAACAGTACATCTCCTCTTTAGACTGAAAGGAACTTTAAAGGACACCCATCGACTACCCCCATTCCCCAGTCAGTCCTATTGTGGTCATGTGGTCCCATGTGCTCCTAAGAGAGGGACAGAGGAGATGGGCTGCCCAGGATGAGATTCCCAGCTGGGGAGAAGGGTCAAGCTCATGCTTTAAGGGTCCGCACGCCAGGTCACAGCACCCGCCCCAGGCTTGTTGCAAGCAGAGTAGAATGCAAATACAGCTCTTCATCAACAAACATACAAATAAATGTACATGCAGAGCCTCACTGGCCCTGGGAGAGAGGATCCTCTTTGACCACTTTCAAGCCCCAGCCTGGGTAAGGGGGGAGGGGGTAGCTAATAACACCTCCTACCGCCTCCCCCTGATTGAAGCAGTCTCCTGAGCAGCGGGAACACTGGCTTGATTAGTCGCCAGAGCTCAGCCTCAAAGCGGCCTCCTAGGATGCTAGGCAGCAAGAGAAGGAGGGAGGGAGGTGGGAATTAACAAAGAGCCCCTCCAATCCTAAGGGGTCTGGCTCAGTCCCCACCTCCTAATGAAGTTGAAGGGGGGTGGTGGTGGCAAGGCCACCTTCTGTACGTGAGAACTTGGGGTGCACTTTGAAAGGTGCCTGGGCAGAGGTGGCCTCACTCAACAGAAGGAA